CATTTTGATTCTCTTATCCCTAAATCCCCACCTTCCATCAACTCATTTCCTGGTGTCAGGGGAAATATGGCAGCGTGGTTGAAGAGGGCTGTGTTTATGGGAATGCCTTGTCCTGTGAGAGCAGCCTGGCGCAGAGAGGGCGGAAGGACAGCTTTTTAAGAGCTCACACGTACCACCCACTGTGCACACCCATCACCTCACCAGGCAGGGAAGAGGTTCTCTCCAGAGAAGGTAAAACAGGGTTTGACTGGGTTCTGGGAAAATGAAATGTACTGCTCAGAGCTGCAACTTTAGCTTCCACGCAAAGAGGAGATAAAAGACGGGGAGTGAGAGCATAAAATCTGTGCCCGAGGACACTTGCTGATCTTGACACAAGTTCTATTCACTTTGCTTAAGTGGCTGACAGAGCCCACTCTCAGCTCCACAAACCTTCCTGCCAGAAGAACTACCAGTCCTAGGAAATGGGATACAAAAAATAAGCTTTGGAGACAACCAGGCAACTGGTCAAGGCCAAGATTGCAAGATTCCTCAGATGTGAATGATGTGAATGAACAATAAACCATGATGTCTAAAAACAGAAATGGGCTGCGACAGACTTGACTTACAAAGCATATGGCTCATTTCCACAGTCACGTGGGCTGTGAACCACTTAGATGATGCATTTCAACAGCAAGCATCTGTCCACCCTCTGAGCATCTATGGCCCTGTTGGGATAATGGAGAGTCCCCTGCCCTCACGGGGCTTACAGTCTACCTGAGGGAGCAGAAAACAAAGAAATGACACGGCAAGTAAATTCTGTAGTAAGTCAGATGACAAATGCTTTGCCAAAGCAGAGAGGCAGGCTGCCACGAGTGACTGAGGTGGGCAGAGCCAGTCTCCCTGAGAAGAAAGCTTTAAGCAAAGAGTGGAGAGCAGGTCAGCCAAGAGCGTGTCTAAGCAGAGTATAAGGTGGGAAAGCGGCTTGAGGGGGGCTGGGAGGTGCATCAGAAGGCACGCCACCTCTTTCAGGTCTTGACTTCATCTTTCATCCCTGCTTTCTAGCACAGAATAGGCACTCAGTTCATTTAAACTCCAGGAAACACAAGGTTATCCAGTATACAAACTCAATCCAGACAACAGGCCAGTGCTTCCTAAGAAAACTGCATGCGAACCAGATAGGAGGATGCTACATTTGGAGAGGAACTGCGTGCCAGATCTTCACATAGGTTTGTGACCCTCTTTCCTTCCCTGAAGTGGAACATGACAGCTTTATTTCTAGGAACATGCAAGAAAAGTGGGAAAAGCATGTTGATATCTAAGGGGGAACTTCTCACACAGATTCTACTTGTGGGCAGAGTTTAAGGACAACTTCCTTTGACAAAGAGGGTAGGCAGTGAGGGGCCTTAAAGGCACGTCCCTGCAGCCTCCTTTTATTCCAAGCTCATGGGGGTGGGGGTGCCGTGCCCCCCATCCCCAGGACACTCCTTCCACGAAAGAGACCTGCATGTCACCGGGGTAACTCCTCAATAAAACAAAGACAGTCAAACCGGAAAAGCAGGCTAAGTCAGGTTTAGGAGTAAAAATGGAAAAAAGGCCAAAGAATTCAATTACAGTAAGAAAAGAACCATCCTTTCTCACCTTCACATAATTTGTCCCTGCAAACACTTTTCAAATAAACACACTCTCAGGCAAAAGAAATTAGAGTCCCACAGGTTCCAACAAATCTGTGCTTACAACTGTTTTCCCTATCAATCTGACATGCAACTAGCATGAGCTGCTGAATCCTCTTCAGAAGACAAGATTAACATTTCTAGAAAATCTAATATTTAGCATCTCAACTCCCTACCCAACCTCCCTATACTACCTTTTCAACCTTTCAATGGCTCCTAATTTCTCATTTATATTCAGGCCTGCTCTTTACTTTAGTGCACATTATGAGTCTCTTTCTTATTAAACTCTGCTAAAATTTTTCATTTTACTCTAACTTTCCATGCATTAAAAAAAAAAAAGTAAAAGCTGTTAAAAATCTCAATTGTTACCATAGTACATGAGAAAGAAAGCATTATAAAATATTTTATATCTTACAAAGAGAAAACGTAAAGGAAAAACTGGCTTTTCCGTATGCTATAATCAAATGAAGTTACACCTGACAGCAGATATCAAATGCAATTTTTGTTTAGCAGTTATTTTTACAAAATTTTTGTCCCTAATCTTGGCAAGGCATCCCTTTCCACCTTTTAAATAGTCTTTTCTACTCCAACTCAGATATGTTTACGATTTTGTAATCTTTCGTAATGTGTGCACGCTTAGTCACTGAGTTGTGTTCGACTCTGTGACCCCGTGGACTGGAGCCCACCAGGCTCCTCTGTCCATGGAATTCTCCAGGCATGAATACTGGAGTGGGTAGTCATTCTCTTCTTCAAAGGATTTTCCCAACCCAGGGATCCAACCTGGGTCTCTTGCATTACAGGTAGATTCTCTACCATCTGAGCCACCGGGGAAGTCCCAAACTGCGACAAATGAAAACGAAGTGAAAGTGGCTCAGTTGTGTCCGACTCTGTGACCCCATGGACTCTAGCCCATAGAATTCCGTCCATGGAATTCTCTAGCAAGAATACTCGAGTGGGCAGCCATTCCCATCTCCAGGGGACCTTCCTGACCCAGGGATCGAAACTGGATCTTCAGCACTAGAGGCAGTTTCTTTACCATCTGAGCCAAAACAAATTGCCAACATCCACTGGATCACAGAAAAAGCAAGCAGTTCCAGAAAACCATCTACTTCTGCTATATTGACTACACCAGAGCCTTTAACTGTGTGGATCACAACAAACTGTGGAAAATTCTTAAAGAGATGGGAATACCAGATCACCTTACCTGCCTTCTGAGAAATCTGTATGCAGGTCAAGAAGCAACAGTTAGAACCGGACATGGAACAACTGACTGGTTCCAAACCAGTAAAGGAGTACGTCAAAGCTGTATATTGTCACCCTGTTTATTTAACTTATATACACAGTACATCATGAGAAATGCCAGGCTGGATGAAGCACAAGCTGGAATCAAGACTGCCAGGAAAAATATCAATAACCTCAGATACGCAGATGACACCACCCTTATAGCAGAAAGTGAAGAGGAACTAAAGAGCCTCTTGATGAAAGTGAAAGAGGAAAGTTAAAGAGCTGGCTTAAAACTCAACATTCAAAAAATTAAGATCATGGCATCCAATCCCACCACTTCATGGCAAAGAGATGGGGGAAACAATGCAAACAGTGACAGACTTTATTTNCCTCCCCCCCAGCTAAGTGAAGCTATGCAAGAAACAGAATGGTTGACAAAATTACATATATATGTGTCAAACTTTTTTGACTTATCTAGAAAGAAAAACTAACTTTTGTTTTGAACTGTCAAGTTAAATGTATCATTTGGGCATTACTTCTAACAAATGGTATAATGTTTATAAAACAAGTATCCCTGATGGGTTGCGATGGAAGAGAAAAGCTCTTCTCCTCAAGTATCTTTAGTGAGTTCCTTAACTTTCATAAAATATTCCCAATTCTATTTACCCTTGCATTCTGCTTCTTCACTCTTGGTACTTCATTCATTTGTGCTAGAATAAGTCAGTGTTAAAGAAGACTCAAGAGTACAAGGAGCTTATCCAGAAATAGTCAGTTTTACTTGACAAATAACCACTGCAGTTAAGTCCACCCATTAGAAACAAATCTTTCCATACCTTTCTCAGTCTGTGGGCAAAAGATTATACAGGGGGAATAATGCTTGAGATTTACTACTGAAGAAATGATTTGACAAGGCTGTTAACAGCAAAGCAGCAAAACGCTTGTCCCTGTGAAGCGCCTTAAGGAACAGCTGTGCTCAGAGCTGAAGTGGGGACCATCGCCAACCAACAACGAGCGGGTTTTGGGGTTTCCCTGGGGGCTCAGTTGTAAAGAACCCGGCTGCCAATGCAGGAGACACAGGCTCGATCCCTGATTTGGGAGGATCCCACATGCCTCGGAGCAACTAAATCCATGTGCCTCAACTATTGAGCCCGCCTTCTAGAGCTTGGGAACCACAATTATTAAAGCCCAAGTGCCCTAGAGCCTGTGGTCTGCAACGTGAGAAGCCACCTCAACGAGAAGCCCAAGCATTGCAATTAGAGAGTAGCCCTCTTTGGCCACAACTAGGGAAAATGAAGACCCAGTACAGCCAAAAATAAATAAATAAAATTATACATATAAAGGAAAAAAAAAAAAAACATGAGTGGCTTTGGATCAAGGTGGTTTCCATTTGAGATTAACATTCAGTGGCTTCTTTTTTTCTCATGAACAGATGACATGAACCAGGTGGAAGAGGTTCCCTGTGCATCTATACTAACTACAGGATCGAGTTTAAGCTTCAGCCAGTACTTCTGGAGAAGAAACCAAGAGACAGACACCAGGTTATAAAAACACTGGTTTCTTCTCTGCTGAGTTCTGTGGTCATTTTATTACTCTCTCTATTTTCCATGAAGATCATTTTCCATTAAATACTTACATTAACCTTACCCTCTACTTTTCCCTAATGATTATTTGGATATACAGTACCAATTACATGAGTAAGAATGCAATAGGTGTTTGATTCCACGGTGACTCTAATCGTGTTCAGAGACATTCACTAAACAGTTTCTCAGATATCATGTCCTATTTTTATAACAACTCTCTACCCCACGAACACAAATTTCTAGCCATGTAATAACTAACCATCTTTTATGCACCATATGTAAATTCAAGTAAAGCGGCTAAACAATTTCTGCCCAGAGCATTTTATCCCAGCCCAACCAATCTGAGCGGAGAAGGCAATGGCAACCCACTCCGGTACTCTTGCCTGGAAAACCCCATGGACGGAAGAGCCTGGTAGGCTGCAGTCCATGGGGTCACACACAGTCGGATAGGACTGAAGCGACTTAGCAGCAGTAGCAGTAACCAATCTGAGACTTTTCCTTTAAAAAAAAAAAAAAGAGCATGAAGCAATCACTCATCAATACTGACCTTGTTGCTCACTGTCTGCTTCAGTTTTTGAAGGACCTGGGGCAACAGGAAGGGGTCGAGGTGGCCGGGGCTTTGGTGTGGGAGGCGAGATCTTTTTCCTTCCAATATATTCTACGTAAGTTCCCGGAAAGTCTCCCCTCTCCCCTGTCGTCTCGTTATAGCCACTTAACCAGCCAATTTCTTCAGGCTTGGCCTCCTGGCCATCACTGAATCCAAGAGCGACTAAGGACCCCTTGTTCACAGTCAGTATGTCCCCCAAGTGCAAGTCAATGTCTTCGTCCCGCTCCTTTTTATAGTCGTACAGAGCCCGGTACTGGTATCCCTCCGCGCTCATGGCTGCAGACCCGGGACCATGCGACGGCTGAGGCCGGCTGCGCACTGCAGTCTACCCTGACGTTTCTACGGGGAGTGAATTCAGAGTGGGCGCGAAGGCTCCTGACACACCTCCAGCAGGGGCCAAAGCGTCAATCTCCAAAGGCTTAGGAGGAGAGGTGATTGGCCATCCGGCCGTCCATCTGTCCTCCATGAAGGGTGTGACCCAAGTCAAGGCTCTCCTCCTCTGTGGCCGCGGTCCCCCCGCCGGCTTCCTCTTCAGCGACTCGTCAACACGCCGACTCCAGGCTGACGCCCCCGGCGAGGCCCGATCCTTTCTGACGCTCTCGTCACGCTGCCCATCTGTCGCCTGACTTGACCGTGGCACGCCGCATGCGAGCTGCACCTAGCAAAGGGAAAACAAGACTTATGAATGAGCGGCACACGGCCCATCTGCGTGACTCTGGACTCGGACTGCCATTCAACAAGTGCTTAACCAGTCTGGCAGACGGACACGGGCCGGCGTCCTTGCGCTTGACGCGGTGTACACAACCAGATGAGCGAGGCAGGCAGTCCCTGCTTTCTAAGAATGCTCGGCGGGCTGAGAGGGCTGCTGGCACGTGGCAACATCTCTGAGACAAGAAGGGACCCAGGGAAACGCAACCTGAGGTAAATGCTCTCTCTCCTAATAGAGCAGAGACCGAACGCTAGGGAGTTCACAGAGGGGAGAGCACGCATCTGAAGACGGAAAGAACATGCGGTGTGAACTTAGGTGAAGCTGTGAGGAGGCGCGTGTCACATCCTGCTAAGAGCCAGAACAGGCAGCCCAATACGTGCGAAGCCAAAGAGGAGGCATCGGATCCGAGTTAGAAAGATAAGCAGGGGTTGTATGACACCACGCATGCGACTTCATGAGTGATGCTAACTGCAATGGGGAGCCAGGACAAGGCTTGGAGAAAGGGGACAGACAGGACCTGGGTTGCACGTGAAGAATCTCACTCTAATCCTGATGCACGGGAGGGGCTGTCACAGAGACAGAAGGGGAGAGCCAGGCAAGGCGTTTTGCAGCCATCTGGGCAAGTGGCCACAAGGGCATGAACCAAAGTGGCAGGAGAAGGTGTGGAGAGGCGGAACTGAAAAGGGACAGAGAGGTGTGGGGAGGGGCATGGCAGTGCTGAAACATGGATGGAGAAAGAGAAGCACCTGGGACTAGGATACTGCATCCCAGTGGGGCAGACGGAGGGATCACAGCATGAGGAGGAACAGGACCACAGAGAAGCCAAGAGGAAGGGCTCTTCCCAGCCTCCAGAGCTGAGTGAAGGTTCAAGGCACGATCCGACTACTGGTGCTTAGAGATCAGCTACTCCATCCACTGTTTCAGAACTCACAATCAAGAAATATTTACTTGTGTGTCTGTTTAGCAACATGTTAGTATGTAGTAATACAAAGATATAAAAAAGACACAAACATTTAGTATATAATACCAGACCATAGGTCATTTTGTTGGTAACTTCCAAGCAAAAAAAAGCAAAGTAGAAAGTATAAACTGTACAGAAAAGTACAAAATAAAAAGGAAAAATGTTCTCTCCTTCCCACTTTCTCCTTTATCCCAAAGGTTATTACTGTTTGATATTAAAAAGCAATAAAAATTACATATTATTTTTTAAAAGAGAGAAAGAGAGCAAAAAGGGTGACTGACCCTGAGTTCATGAGAAGACCACAGATACCAGTATCAGGCAAAGGGAAGCCAGGAGGCCTTGGTGGGCTAGAAGTGATGCTGAGCATCCAAACCCACGTGTGAGTAGCTGAAAACCTGGTCTGTGATTCAGGACAGGGAACACACCTGAAGTTTGATAATCAGCTGCAAATAAGACACAGGCAAACTCAATGGAATGAAGGAACTCAGAAAAAAAATATTAAAAGTTCAAAAAAAAAAAAAGATCCAAGGATGAAACATTGAGGCTCACTGAATGCTGCTGAAATGGGAAAGTCAAGGTCTGGAGACGATGCCATGTCCTGGAAATAAGGGATAAGAGGGTTCAGGTAGGAAAGGGTGATCTCTAAGACTGAATCCTGCAGAGGCCTCTGGGAGTGTAAAATAGGCCGGGCGAGGTCACCCCAGGGCTGCGTCCATCGTGGACTCATGGCAGAAAGGCAGAGCAAGCCACTCTAGTCTGATGGTATAGAGGATCTGATGTTCAGTTGCTAAATCGTGTCCGACTCTGCGACCCTATGGACTGCAGCATGCCTTTAAGGAGTTAAGGAATAAAGAGAAAGCAGATAGCTGCTGCAGATCACTCTATGGAGACAGTTCAATGGAGGAGAAGATGCAAGTTTCTTCTTTTTTTTTAACTAGTGGAGGCAGAGGGCTCAGAGTCAAGAGATTCTCAAGATAGGCAGTAAGCAGCTTGGATTGCCGCTAGAACAGCAGAGAACAGCGTGCACTGGGACACACTATGCGCACCCCGTTCATTTCTCCACGTTATCTTGGTCATAAAGAGGAAAAGCAAACTCACGGTTTCAGTTAAGCTGGCTGAACAATAAAGCAATGAAAACAATAGCCTCACAATGTCGGTGTGCTGTGTCAAAGAGAGCTTTTGTAAGTTTTCAAGAGTGGAACCCTTTAGAAGTTTAATATTATAGGCACTCTGCGGCGCAGGCATCTTAAGAAGCAAAATCTAATCACAGATTAATTGTTATGCTGGCATTCAGAAGTGTAAAGCATTCAACTTTACATGGCTAAAGCCTCTTAGCTGTAATACAATAACGCTCTTAGGAGAGTTACATATTAAAAGAAGCAAAAACAAACACTGGAGATCTTTGTGTAGCAAGAATATTAATCTGGGGTAGTATTCTACTTTGCATTTCAGTCGGCAGAGGAAAAAAATTAAAGCAGCCAGCAGAGCATATGAGAAAAATAAACTATGTTATGTTTGAAGACAGCCTCTCCTTTTGCCAGATCCAGAATCAAATTAAATATTCACTGCATAAATTCACACGAAAATGTAGAACTAGCAAATCCCATTTTTAGTACTAATGTACTCTGTTACAAATGAGACACAGAACTCTAAAGAACATGGAAATCTACATATCCCTAAATGCCTGGAAACCAGGCAATATGCCTAAGAATAATTTAATTCCTCCAAATTTGCCTTGAAATTTTTGTTAGCTTTTCCTGGCAATTTATGTCTTTTGGGGAGGGGGGGGAAGTCCTCAACTAGGAGGCTGGGTAGATCTTTCCGCCAGCTGCTGCCTATGGCTTCCTGTTTCAACAACCCAGAAGGCCAGTTTGGTGAGATTCTTAACAGAATGAGCAGTATAATAATCCCTCTCTCCCTTCTTCCCTGTCACCTGCAATTCCTCCTCTCCCCTCTAAAAAGCCTCAGCAAACTGCCAAGGCTTACTCACGACATATCCCTGCAGCTATGCATGTCCTGCACCAGGGGACACTGTAGTATGAAAAGCCTCTAGGTCTGCTCACAGTTTTATAAACCTAAAAACTATGTTTACACTGGCCTGAAGCTAAATCCCTGCAAAGAGATAAAGAACCCTGAGGAACCCTAAGACTCTAGCAACTGCTAGACTCTAGAGCAGCAATAACAATTCTCGCCTTAGATGCCAGAGACTTGTCTCTACAAAGAACCCCTCCCTCACCATTTGTAAGAACCACCTTACTTTGTATGTAAGAATCTTGTGCAGAATTTTGGGCCCTCAACCGAAACAAAAAAACACAAAAACATCCCCAGATCTTCTATGGCTCTAGGGCCGCAAGCAGCACACACTACTCTCTATCTCTGGGACTCCACCATCAAGGCCAGGAAGACCAATCAAAACAATCCAAGGTCAGCCATGATTCAGTGGCAATTAAGTGAGTGGAGAGCAATTAAAAGAAGCCAATTAAGAGGGAGAGCTGCCTAGCCAGCTGGGGGGCAGGTGAAGAGCATCCTATGGAGAGGTACAGAGAGGCCTTGGCTAGAGGGAGGAGGCATGTGGCTTCTCTGCTGCACGCTGTACACTTTCTCCTGATGGCCACACCCAATTAAATGATGTCATTGTCATCATGGTCATCATCTAATACTGGGAGCTATAGATGTATTAACCCATTCAACCATCACCATCAAATATTTATTGGGAGCTGTATGTGTATTAACATGGGTCAGTAACCATGAGGTGGGTACTACCAACATTCTCACTTTACACAAGAGGAAATGAGGTGCAGAGAGTTTGTGTCTTGGCTGTGATATCTTGGCCATGAAAATGCTCAGCAAGTGAGAGGTAAAACTAGAGTTCAGATCCAGACAGTCTAGCTCCAGAGTCATCACTTTTAACATTCTAAACCCTGCTGCTCAAACTCAGTTTCCCTGGATGCCCATGGATGGCCAGATACGTCAATAAGGTCACCCATGTAGATTCCTTGCCTGCATACTCAGACCTCTCAAACTCATCTTGATGGTCTGCTTTTTACTCTCTGTGATAGCGGCCGTATTGGCATCTGTGGCTCTTTCACAATAAAACACCTGCACAAAGAGAAGCCTTTATAACTCAGGAGGAGTGCCCTCAAGTCTGAGACTCAGGATCCATTCTGCTCTACAGGCTTCAGCTTCTGTCACCTAACTGCCTCCTGCTGCTACCCCAGTCCTCTCACTGCACAACTTCTGACAACTCAGTCCCTCCTGGGCGGTGGGGGAGGGAGATGTAAATCATCATCCACAGCCACCGGGGAGATGATGTTCAGAGGACTGGCAAGTTGTCTTTCTCTCCTCCTCAGATTCGCCCCAGCACAGCAGAAATCTCTGCAACCTTGGACACTGGCAGTGCCTAAATTACTTGCCTGTGGTCAGTGTGGGGCCCAAACTCTATGTTCCCCAGGTTCACACGCTTATACCTCTAATCTCTTTGGCTACATGCACCTGTCCATTGAACTATGTCCACTCAGTTCCAATGGAATTATTTCCACAGTTTAGGTTTTTATATGCAGATAATATCCACCATGGGGCTTCCCTTGCGGCTCAGACGGTAAAGAATCCACCTGCAATGCAGGAGCTGCAGGTTCAATCCCTGAGTCAGGCAGATCCCCTAGAGAAGGAAAGGGCAACTGACTCCAGTATTCTTGCCTAGTAAATTCCATGGACAGAGGAGCCTGACGGGCTACAGTCCATGGGGTCGCAAAAAGAGTCAGACGTGACTTAGCGACTAAACAACAACAGTATCCACCATTCGTAATTTAGTGACTTAGCGACTAAACAACAACAGTATCCACCATTCGTAATTTAATGTTTTCAAATAACTGAGGCAGTTTTATGACATAGGCTCTAAGCCAGTGCATAACCTGAGTTACTGTAACAAAAGGTATAAAGAAAACCTAGGAACAAATAACAAATTAACTTACTTTTATAGAACATCACCTGAAACAGTTCAAAAGTTCCTTCATGGGAATTTATTTTGCTCCTATCTTTCAGGCCTTTTACAGACTGCCTGCAATGAAGGCAGATTTTTTCTCTCTGCTAAAATACTGACCAATTCTCATTCTGTTCCTCAGAATAAAGTAGCTTCTGATGCCCCACAAGAAGCAATCCATGACTTCTTAATGTACAACTGCTTGTAAGTAAATTTTCAATTTAACCATCTAACCTGCAGGCATTTGGGCAAAGAACCAAACACAACTCTTTGAAAAGTCCTCTGACTTTGTTGACTTACTCATTCCCATTTGCAAAGGACAGAGATTTAGAAATCTTGGTGGGGAGGCAGGAATAAAGAACATTTTCAAATCACTTTAAATAAACCAAGAATATATCCTGATCATGTGATTCTACCTTGCCATGAAATCAGCTGTTTGGCCCTGGTTCTCAGAACAAGATAGACCTTCAATCCAGCTGCAAAGCTACGGATCAATTCCTGGGCCCCCAGCCCTACAATTCATCCTTCCATCTTCAGTGTGGCAGCTCTGAGTAGGGCAAGCTCCCTAACTAAACTCACGCCACTTTTTTAAAAAACAGAAAACACAGTTCATCATCTAAAAATCTTTTCCCCTTTCAAATATGGTGTCCTGGAAATAGTGAAAATCAAATTTTCTTATTAAACATAATGAATTTCAACTTAAAATGCTGGGCTCAGGGTAAAATTTTATGGGGTGTGAATTTCATCTCAATCAAAATAAAATGATGGGCTGGGATGAAGCCCCAAATCAGCATCCTTAAGTATCTCCATTCATTTTTCTTTTTTTTTTTTTCCCATTCATTTTTCAAACCAACCAGAATGAGCGCCAGGCTGCCATGCTCTGGGGGAGCCGGGCATCTGAGCCACGACTCCTGCCCGCAGGCTCTCTGGGGGCTGGGTGTGTGGGGACAGGACAAGCCCTGGTCAAACAACAAGGACATGAGGCTCTCCAGAAAGCAAAGTGATGGGATGGCGCCAGCACTGCCGGAGGCGCAGAAACACAGCCCCAGCTGGACGCATTTCTCAGGCTCAGTGGTCATCACAGGGAGGCTGCGGCTTCCAGAGCCTGAGAAACACATCCTGTCACCCAGAAAAGGCCCTGGGGTGGACCATTCCAGTTCTCTGCATCACCCCGGGCAAGGAAGCCCTGAGAGGAGGCCGCCCTGGAATGGCAGGGCGGAAGAAGACACTCTAGCATCTCTCCTCTTGTGAAAATAGGATGTTACTGTGGAAAATTCTCAGCAAGCAGGTGGGTGTAAGCACTGGACTTCACACTCAAAAATGCTTGTCCCCACCACTGGGGCCTAGATTTTCAAACTTGACCAAGTCTCTTAAACCTCTCTGTGCCACTGTTCATTATGAAGATGAAAGGAAATTATTTATACAGAGACTGAGCTCTGGGCTTGATAATCAGAGCTTAATATAATTAACACCGACACAGCACTTACTAGGGGCCAGGCACTGTCCTTCTAGTTTTGTACATATCAACTCATTTAATCCTTGCATTCTGGGTACAGTTTATCATCTCCATTTTACAGATAGGAGAATCAGCACAGAGAAGTTAAATAGCGTGCCTCAGGTCAGACAGCTAGTAAATCCCAGCTGTAGCAGCAGTATTGTTATTCCTATCGTTATTATTAGCATTGATTGCTACTTATACAATTCCTATTTAAAACTGGAAACATTTGCCAAGAATTTTTCTTGGGCACTGCTTCCAAGCTCTGCAAACTGTACAGAAAGATTCCTGAAGCTAGCCAAAATAAAACTCCGTTTCTTTAACTCCTTTTCAGGGTAAATAGACAGACAGATAAGGGTGCTTGTGGACTTTGTCCATCTAGTGCTGGGGCAGAGAGCGGCTCCGCAGAGGTCAGGGCTGGGGAGACCTGGGAGGGGCCAGGGCTGTGTGACAGGGTGGTATGAGGAGCGGGTGGAGTTAGGGGCCAACACTCCTCTTCAGGAAGCTGTGGTGGCCGCTTTCCTATCTGCCTTCAAAGGAAACAGGTGATCCCGCTCACACAATTCTCCAGGGACTGAAAGCAGGGGCTGCTCCTGTTGCAGCCCCGAGCTCCTAAGGCTGAGCCCAGGGTGGGACCACTGAAGTCCAGTGAGGGAGAGGGGTCCAGCCTGGCCCAGGCACCTCCCTTTCTTCACTCTCTCCTCCCTTCTGCCAGACTCCTTTGACTGCAATACTCTCTGGGGTGATTATTACGATGAACACCATTTTGACTACAGGTGTGGGGGGTGGGGGGAGTGGGGGTGAGGAGCACATATGTATAGATATGTTAAAGGAAAACAATGCTGGGAGGATAAAGTCTCCAAAAATGTTTTTATACTAGGATTTTTCTTTTTTTTTAAGCAAAAGGTATATTACACTCACTCTATCCTTTCAAATACACAAAAACCCTAACATCACCCAAACAGACATGGTTAGGAGTAATTACAGTCTATTTTCAGCTGCTTTGGCATCATGTATGTGAAATAGCCTTTAACTGCCACTTTCTTAAGCAAGTAACTCCAATAAGAGTGTTGGCAGAATCATGGCAGGTAATCACATTAGGGTGTAGGTGGAGGAGACCGGGATGCAGAGGGGTGGGTGGAAAAAGGA